TAGTAATCAGTGAGGGGGTACATGGCTGGAGGAATGAGATATGGAGAGAGCAGAGTAAAGATGAGATGATAATTGATGAGCATGATGAAAACAAGGTGTCTAAGAGGGATCAAACGGAGAAAAGTGATCTACAACTCCTATTCGAGGACAACCATGATGGACATGTGAGGATGGTAAAGCTCGAGGAGAAGGATGTTCCTGTATGTATTTGCAGCATCAATGTGATGCCACGACTTCAGAAGAAGCAGGGTAATTGTAAACAGGTTACCTTTGCAGTACCAGATACAGAAACAGACAAACAATGCTTACCAGACTTGGAGAGGATCAAGACGGAGCAGGACTTGGATCCAATATTGAGAATTGTGAAACAGTGGGTTAAAGACGGCGCCCGGGGAACAATCCAGGTGAACCGTGTGCCAGACAAATTGATCACCTATTGGACCCAATTTAGCTTGATGAAAGTGGATGAAAGCGGACTCTTGAAGAGAAAGTGGGTTTCAAGAAAAGAGAAAGATTCGAGAGAGTTAATCGTGATACCAGACAGCTATGAAGAGGAGATCATGAGACTGTTTCACGACAACATCACCAACTGTCATCCGGGAATCAGCACCTGTGTGGAGAAATGCAGGGAGTACTTCTACTGGCCGAAGATGGAGCAGGACTTCAAAATGTACATCAAAGCGTGCATAAGATGCGGAGAGATGAAGCAGCCAAAAGCTTATCTGAAAGCACCGCTCAAACATTTATTCTTCCATCATTTCAATGACGCTATTGTGATTGATCACATAGTACCGACAGTAAATCAGAGAACACCCCGAGGATATCGATACATCCTTACTATCTCTGATGCCTGGTCTAACTATCTGGTAGCCGTTCCAGTCAAGAGTCAGACTGCTAAGGAGAATATAGCAGCAATAATGAAGAACTGGGTATTAAAGTTCGGAATGTGTCGGGAATTAATTGTGGATAATCACCCCGGATTCAGAGCTGAATTCTTCAAGGAAGTTTGGGAGTCTTTCGAGTGCAAGAAAACTCACGGAACATCGTATAAAGCGTCTAGCACGGCCCGTGCTGAGAGCAACAACAAGAGAACAAATCGAGCATTGCGAGCATGCATTCCTAGGGGAAAGGAGCACTGTTGGGATATGTACCTGGACAAGAGTACATTTGCCTTGAACTGTTTGAAGAACCGGAGAACTGGGTATTCTGCTCACAAGATGATATTTGGCAGAGAGGTCAACTTGCCGTTGAATCTGATGTTAGATGATAGAGAACAGCATCAGCCAGATACGAGGAACGCCGCTGCCAGGGAGGCGTACGAGCTTCACAGAGAAATGAAGAGAATCATCAGGAGAGTGAGAGAGAGTGCGAATGTAGATTTCATGTATGCACAGAGGCAACATGATCGAAACCTGCATGGTCCTTACTTTAAGGAGAACGACTTTTGTTTCGTGTTAGTGCAATGTCCTAAACACAAGTTTGCTCCACGATTTAGGGGTCCGTGCAAGGTGAAGAAGGTAATAAATGATCACTTGTATGTGGTGGAGTACGGACCTGGGCTAGAGAAGGTCACGAACATTTGTAAAATGAAGCACTACGAGATGAACAGATTCTCGAAGAAAAGAGTAGTGATTCGTGAAGACAGCAGATATACTGCGGAGCCAGTGAGAAAAGACCCAGTGAGAAGGGACAGTGAGGATAGTGATAGCAGTAGTGATGAGGAGTGGATGCCTGAGCATGTGGAGAGAGGCAGTTCTGTGGTTCGAGAGAGTACCTTGTCTAGTCAAAATATTGATATTCCTGACGTACCTCTATCACCGGAATATACACTTCCTTTCAGAACGGAAAATCAGGAAATTTCAATCCAACATGACCCTCAGACACCAGCTAGGGTTAACACTCCGGTTCATAATTCATCACCGATCCAGGAGACGGGATCAAGTTTTGGATCTTTCTACACACCCGGGTGGAGCAGAGGGGTTGAGGAACCTACATCCGAGATAGAGGATAGTTTAAGTCCTGTCGAGCTGGGGGAGAGCAACAATACACTAGCTTACTCACCTGATGAACAGAGTACGCCTGTAGCCAGTGGAGGACGTTCTCTAAGAAATAGAGCTCAGTTAAAGAGGCCGGATTACTATAGACCGGTGTCAAGAATTAATGTGGTATTGAAGAGGGTAAAGAGAAAACTTGGGTTTTAGAGAATTGCTGGTCACGGGATGCCAGTTAACTACCTGTTGCTCGGGCAGATACGACGATTGTTGTCATGTTTTGCAGACTACCTGGAACCTGTGGAAGGTAGTCATCGTTGCATTTCTTATCTCCCGCCGTGCTTAGGGTATGCCTGGTGTCCTTGATATCAGTTGATATTTTTAGTGATGTCTGTGTTTTTTTTAGGAGGGCTTGCTACCCTGGAGAGTGGAGAGTTTGCGAGAGGTGGAGTTAGTTGTTGAACCGTGGAGTAGAGTAGAGTGTAGAGTGTGAGTCACCTTTAAATCCGGTAGAGCATCGCTCCTGATGCCTAGATTCGCCTTTAGTTGACTTTTGATATTCATGTGCCGATAAGGTCTTAATCTAGATGATTGACTTCATATCTATGTATATGACAGTTTGAGGTGACTAGCAGGTTCGTACCTAAGCGTACTGAGCATTTTAGTTAAGTATGTTAGTACCTAAAGCGTACTGAGCATTTTAGATAGGTATGTTAGTACCTAAAGCGTACTGAGCATTTTAGTTAAGTTAGTTTGTACCTGAGCGTACAGAATTTCTTAGTTAGAGTATGTTCGTACCTAAGCGTACTGAGCATTTTAGTTAAGTTAGTTTGTACCTACGCGTACAGAATTTCTTAGTTAGAGTATGTTCGTACCTAAGCGTACTGAGCATTTTAGTTAAGTTAGTTTGTACCTAGGCGTACAGAATTTCTTAGTTAGAGTATGTTCGTACCTAAGCGTACTGAGCATTTTAGTTAAGTTAGTTTGTACCTACGCGTACAGAATTTCTTAGTTAGAGTATGTTCGTACCTAAGCGTACTGAGCATTTTAGTTAAGTTAGTTTGTACCTGAGCGTACAGAATTTCTTAGTTACAGTAGGTTCGTACCTAAAGCGTACTGAACATGATGAGGAGTAGAGGGTTCGTGACTGGGTGTGCCGAGTAGAGGAGTATTTTTCAGGCATCGATCACCAAGTGGAGAATGCAGGAGACGATACAGATACTACATCTACATTCTACATCAGTCAAATTAACATCAGAGACAGGAGCAGAGACAGCAGGAGGGACAATTTGGAAAGGACAGTTAGGACAATTTAGGAGAGACTAGAGGGTAGCAAGTGTGTATATATATTTGAAATTTTATGTTTGTATGACGTGATGTCGTGATAGTTATCACGGGATAATTTTAATATTTGTTGTTACGAGCATTTATTATATGTGCGTAATTGTTTATTTTGTAGTTGAAAGTTTTTTACACGTGCAGTGTATTACGTGAAATTTTTTGATTGTGTATGGAGTTGGACACGTGAGGTTAGCACGTGGGGTTTTAGGGTCAGTGTTAGTCACGTGAGGGTTTATACGTGCATTTTCTTTAGATTTTTTAGTGGTGTAGGTTTTAGTATTTTAGGATTTTAATAGGTAGGGGGGGATTTAGTCGAATTTGTCAATACCTCCTGGAGATATTGACTAAATCGATTAAATTTTCCCGGGGGATATAGTGTAATATGGTAAGCTAGTTGCAGCAGTATTTATATATATATTAGGCTTTTTAGATCTTTGAGAATATTCTAGTATAAGTGTTGAATAACCGTTAGGATTAGTATAAGATTAGATTAGATTAGTGGAATAGATTATGGATGGTTTTGCGGAGGAAGGCACGTGTTAGTCAGGTTAGCTAGTTAAGTTAGGTTATTGGACAGACTGGGCCGCGCGGTGTCACGTGGTTCGCCATGTGATGTCACGTGACCCAGAGCTGGTAGGTTTTGCTTGCCCCGTTAGCGGCAGTTCTTCGGTAAGCATTTAACGGTAAGGTTGTAAAAGTTACCGCTTCCGAGGACAGTGTAGCGTGGCCTTCGAGTCGCTAGTCTTGGTTTATTGATCTAATAGTAATTTATTACCTTTCGAGACTTATTGTTCGAACCCCCTGTTTCCTTTGTTCCTACCTAACTTAGGACTCGATCAAGTCATTCGATCTTTTAAAGTTATACGGCACTCAGTAGCCTGTAAGAGTTAGAGTGAATTTGCAGAGCTTGAGAGCTAGAGATTTGCAGGTATTCGTGTACGAGACTTCGATATCGTACTCGTATATTTCTTCAAGTACCGCGTACGATACTTCAAGATCGTACCCGTGTATTTCTTAAGTACCGTGTACGACACTTCTCTATCGTACCCTAGTACATTTTAATTACCCGTGTACGCCACTTCGCTACCGTACCTTTGTGAGCAGGCAAAGTAGACCATTGGTACGCCCGGGAGGACTGTTCTGGTGCCATCTTATTTTACACTAATGTGGACATGATAGACATAATTATTTGAACATTTAAAAACCCTTCCTGAATATGTCAATACAGTGAGGTGGTACTGGTAACGTCATGATTATATAGGGGGGGGGGGGGGGGGGGGCCAAGTGGATATTTGTAGATATTTGTAGATTAATGTAGAATGGATAATCCACGAAAAAAGTGGATGACATTCTACAAATTTATACATTTATCTCCAAAAATTCAGTAGAATTTCTGGGCACATATTTGAGATTACATTTTTTGTAGATAAATGTAGATATTTGTAGATTATTGTCAATGGATAATTCACGAAAATTCTACAAATTCTACAAATTTATACATTTATCTCCAAAAATTCAGTAGAATTTCTGGGCACATATTTGAGATATACATTTTTTGTAGATAAATGTAGATATTTGTAGATTATTGTAATGGATAATTCACAACATATTACGAATATAAATCTTCCAGCCACGTCAAGCCACTTCAAGCCACTTCAAGCCACAAACCTGAGTACAATTAACACGTTTAGCGGGATCAAATCTGAGCATCTCGTGCAACATGTTGATGGTATGATCGTCAGCAGCGATAAAGATATCTGATAATGGTATACCAGGGCAGGGTTTAAATGCCACATAGTCAGGGAGTGAAGTAAGTCCGGGCCAGTCTTCCTCCGTTGGTGTGCCCAGCGTCTCGAATATTCTCTGTAGTTGGTTTAGATCGCTCTCCCCCGGCAGAAATGGATTCTGAAAGTAATTAGATGAGTTAAATACTAAAATGAGTTGGTATTTTAAAAGATGATCCATTTTAATTCAAATAAGTACCGGGTGGAATTTTGTAGTTGCCTCTACTACTAATACTGTGAATAAGTTGACTCGTGTCAAAGTAAAGGGTATCTTAAAATTAAATAAGATCCGTAGTAAGATGCCATGTACCTTTTGAAGGAGCTCCGCCGCAACGCAGCCCACCGCCCAGATATCCACACCTGTACCATATGACTGAGCTCCAAACAACAGCTCCGGTGCCCGGTACCACCTGATAAAATATGGGATAAAACATTAGATCGTCTTTCAGGTTAATTTAACCACTCTCCGACTGTCCATGTTAGTAAAAAGAATGTTTGAAAATCATCGCAACATGTCAAACTTATAGAGAAAGTTTATAATTTAGAAACGCCCGTTACAAAGTGGACACAGCTTAGCGCCTACCTTTCAGCCATTAGTAGAGCCTTTTGTAATAGTTCTTTTCGAGATCAAATGGTTTCCAAGAAATCCACTTATTTACCCTTATTTATCAAGTACAACCGTCAGAGAATGTATTAATAGACTATTATTATTTGCTCGGTTAAAAGCATTAGCACAGCTTGCCCGGTAAAGGCGGCTACCAGCTCTCCCAATTTTGAATTAACACCTTAGATTGATCTGAGACCACTATCTATTTCGCACAATATTCCTTATGTTCTTGAAGATTGATATTCAGCTCATTCAACGAAATTATTTTTCACGAACTGGACATGTTGATGAAGAACAACACCCTCTCCGACCTCTATCTGAACACGGAATACTACACTCCCGTAAAGTACACTTCAATAGCATTTGGTCTAGTTCTTATCTTGCTCGGAGTGACAGGCAACACTCTCATTCTAATGGGCAGCATCAAGTACAACGCATTCCGATTGGACAAGGTAACTGGGACCCTTATTCAACACTTGGCTGTGTCCGATCTGGCCAGTACCATCGTGCTAATGATACCAGCAACCATAGCAACTATGGTGGATTATTGGCCCTTCGGATACACCTTCTGCAAGGTCCATTTCTACTTGATATTGATTTGTGGACATAGCAGTGTTTGCCATATCTGTGCCCTGACAACCTGTAAGTTTGTAAGCTTACAAAAACCATTTCGTGCCCAGCTCTGGGAGCGGAAGAGAGGTCATCTTCTCGCAGCAGTTGTTTGGGCTTGGTCCGTGATCCCTGCGGCAATCCTCATCATCGTCAACCCCGACAGCATATACTACGATAACGTTCGAATAGCCTGCATGTACGATTTCTCGGATCCTGTTTGGAAATACCTCCTGCCAGCTATTTCATTTTTAGTGGCGATGGTCCCGAATATAATAGTCCTAGTGTCCACAATCGGGTTGATAACTTCAGCTCATCAGATTGCCAAACGAGGTCGAGAGACAATAAGATGGCAGGGAGTCCTGGCAGTTTTACTGGTAGCACTGGTTTACAGTCTGACCTACAGTCCTCACATTGTGATGAACTTTCTGGGCAACAAGTACCTGCACGCTGACCAGGCAAACACAAAAACCAAGATCAGTATCATTATCTGTGGCCGGTTGATACTTATCAACTACGTTTCAAACGTCTTCATCTACACCGCATCAGTCAACAGCTTTCGACAGTTTCTTTTTGAAAAAATACGGCCTTGCAGATTCACTCTCATCAACATTCAGGCAGCTCCACTAACAGCGGAAACAAGGGTTTAACGGACTATAACCGTCATTTTAGTTTTAGTAATTCGATAATTAATTTAATAAGTAATTTAATTTAATTTAATACTTTCAACACCACTATATAACAAATAATTTTAGGTCCCAATGTCAAAGCGATAGAAGAGACTATGACGTGACCGTTTGTATCCTAAGCAACGCATCTATTTCCTGGGCTACAGTATTGACTTCGCCATTTTCTCCTCCCTCACCGCCATCTTCTCCTCCCTCTTTCCTTCACTATGGATCTGAATTCTGTTACCAATGTTTTAAACTCGTTTTCATTAAAAGAGCTGAAAGCTCTTAAGGCCAGTGTTGAGAATGTCATGAAACTTAAGAGGGATTCTGTGAAATGCGAGGACTTCTTGGAGTTGCATTCAGATTTTGTTCAAAACAAGAGTGTTCAACATGGCACGTTGATGTCTGAACTTGAAACACTTATGGCCAAGCAAACTGCTGTGAAAACTGCCACAAAGTGGCTCACTTCCACTGGAGAAGAATATGTATGGTCTTCCTCAAATGGACACACCACGACTAAGGAGCCAATCGATATTTTAAATTATCCTGGGATATCAGAGCTTATGCATGATATCAACTCCAAGTTTGGCTGCAAGCTAAACTCATGCCTAGCAAGCATGTACAAGTCTGGTTCTTGTGCAACTAGGTACCACAACGACGACGAGGTGTCTCTTGACCAGTCGCAAGGTATTTATGTAGTTTCATTTGGAGCTGAGAGGACCCTCGACATAATTCCAGAAAATGGGGATAAGCGATGTAACAGTAAATGCCATATCACCCCAAAGGACTGTAGTTTGTATATTATGAAACCGGGGTGTCAGGAATATTGTCTTCACAAGGTTCGTGCAGAGAGATCAGCTAAGGAGACTCGGTATAGCTTATCTTTTCGCTGCCAGATACCGAAGACAGATACAAATGTAGTCAGGGAGCAGAATGTCTTCACTACAATTCCTATGCCGCCCACCACCACCTCAACACCAACCCTCTACTACCGAAATGCTCCAAGAAAACCGAAGAGCAGGAAAACCACTGTCCTGTTTGGTACGTCAATGACAAAATTCGTACGGACAAATAAGTTGGGATTCCGGGGAAGGAAAGTAATCAATGTGTCCCAAAGTGGTGCAAAAATTAGAGACATCACTGAAAATATTCAGCATTTTCATAAAACTCATGCAGCTGCAGAAGCTGACGATATTGAAAAGATTATATTGAGTGTTGGTACAAATGACATAAAACATTCTAAGTATGGGGTTCAGTTCCTTAGGAAGTATCTTAATGACTTAATTGACACCACTAAGCAGTTATTTCCCGCTGCAATTATAATTATCCAATGTTGTCTTCCTATTAAGTGTTTATATTCCTACATAGCAAAGAATGTTCTAGATTTTAATATTCTACTTAAAGACTTATGCCTAAATAATAATTGCGTGTTCTTAGACTGTTTCTCAGACTTTTTAACTCGAGACTTTAGATCCTGTAATGAACTTCTATACCATGATTGGCTTCATCTCAACATGAGAGGAGTAGGTTTACTGTCCACTTGGCTTAAGTTTGTTGTAAACGAACACAGTTTTGACAGGGTTGTAAATAATCTTCTGGGAATTTAAATCTTTGATCTTTTCTTTCATTTAATATTTTGATTAAGACGTTGCGCCTAAAATTAAAACTCAAACAAATCTCTGATTTAATCTTTTTCTCAATTTTATGCCTCCTATTTCAGGTACATTCGGTCACTGCCCATTTTCCCATATGTTAGACAATGAATCGTTTAGACTTAGAATAGGTCTTTTTGCATGCAAAAGGCCTCGTACACAGTCAAGAAATGCACATATACATATCAACACGTTTATACCTAACAAAATTTACACATTTAAGTCTCCATGCACCCCACACATCAACTACAATTATCATAATCATATGTTTCTCTTCTATTCTCTTATCATGACTTACTTTCTCCCAATTCTTCTCTCCACGACTAGGTCCATGAACACTGTACTCCCCCTAGATTCTAATATTCATTCCTCTCTACTCCTTGACAGCCCACGTTATCTTATACCATTTCTTGCTTGCTCCCACATCAAACTTTTCTTTGTAATTATCTCCTCATGGTTTATAAGAAATGTTCTTCTCCCTGGTAAGATGAATAGAGCCAAGTATTCCAGCCGCCTCAGGCGTCTAGTCTCTTTATTCATTCTTTGGGTTTTCTCTCTTAACTTTCTTTTGATAACTCTTGTTAATCCTTCTATGCTTAATCCAGGTCCCAACTCCCTATCTGTACTCTACCAAAATGTCCAAGGTCTTATTCCTTTCAGTAACCTAAGCTCCTCCCATCCCCTTCTTGATGGTAATAAGATTTCCGAACTTCAATCCTTTGCTAACATAGAGCAGCCTGACATAATTGCCCTAAATGAGACTTGGCTCAAAAAATCTATTTCTAGCAACGAAATCTTTCCTTCTTCTCAATATGAAATCTTCCGCAATGACCGCACGAGAAAGACTCATCCTCAAGATCCTAATAACCCTAAAAAGTTTAGGGAAAATGGAGGTGGTGTTCTTTTGGCTGTTCGGTCTGATCTCGATGCCACTACAACCCGACTACCAGTTAGCCTAGGTGCAGAAATGCTTGCCGTTAAAATTGCTTTTCCTAACAAAGAGAGTATTGTAATCTGTACTTGTTATAGAGTAGGAACTCTTGGGTTACCTAATCATGATGTCATAGTTAGTTATATTCGCAAGCTAGTTTCCAAAAAGAATCCCCCTAAAATCTATGTTATTGGTGATTTTAATCTCCCCCATACAGACTGGCTATCTTCATCCAGTACCGTACCTATTGAGCAATCCTTCATAGATTCTTTCAGTGATCTTTCTCTCTCCCAGTTGATCACATCACCCACCCATAAAAGTGGTAATACATTAGACATTCTTCTCAGTAATTATGATAACACAATCGATAACTTGAATGTCTGTGATCCTCATTCCGTGTGCAAATCTGATCATTTTCCTGTCACTTTTTCAATTAAAAGCTCCTTTTCCCGCAAGAAAACTCCTAAACGTAAAATCTATAATTATAAGAAAGCAAACTGGGACATGATTAATCGTGAATTATGCTCGATTAATTGGCAAGTCCTAGAATGCCTAGATCCTGATTCGTCTTGGAAGTTAGTTAAAGACTGCATTATGAATTTAGTTGATATACATATTCCTAAAGTAACTATTAAATCAGAGTTTCAACCCCCGTGGTTCGATAGTGAACTTTTTTCTTCATGCCGTAAAAAAGATAGACTCAGAGCTAAATTTAAAATTTCTGGTTCTATTTCTGATGAGTTAAAGTTTGTTACTAGCCGTAAAGATTTTAAGAGGCTTTCATCAGCCAAAATAAGAGACAATCTTTTCAATAGTGATGATCCAGCGCTTATAACTAAGAAGTTTTGGTCACATGTTAAGTATAAATCTAACTCCTGCCGTATTCCTAATTGTGTTAGTTATTCTGGACAGCTTCGGTTCAAACCCAAAGCTCAAGCTGAACTTTTCAATTCTTTCTTTTATAACCAGTTTTCGGATCCTTCACTTTATGACACTGACATCTCCTATGTCAATGATGTTGATTTTGATATTGACTTCGATCATCGGGATGTTCGTAAGCTTCTTTCAAATATTAATTCAAATAAAGCCCAGGGACCAGATGGCATACACGGTAAAATTCTCAAAAATTGTTCCGTAGGTTTAGCTTACCCTCTAACATGCATTTTTCGTGGATCTTACAACAGCGGCTACATTCCACAAGAATGGAAACTTGCAAATGTTGTCCCAATATTTAAGAAAGGTAAGAAAAGTGAGGTTGAAAACTATAGACCAATATCCCTTACTTGTTTAGTCATGAAAGTTTTTGAGCGCATTGTTAAACGTAAACTGCTTTCTTTGACAAGTACCCTTCTTGATCCCAGGCAGCATGGTTTTCTAGAGCACAAGTCATGCACAACCAATATGGTTGACTTTTGTGATAGCCTGGCATTGTCTCTTAACGAAAACATTATCAATCATGTTGTGTATTTTGATTTTGCTAAGGCATTTGATTCTGTAAATCATGATATCCTTCTTCATAAGCTAAAGACCTTATATAACATTGATGGTACACTTCTCAAATTTCTTACCAATTACCTTCAAGGCCGTTACCAAAGAGTGGTTATTGGTAATGAGATGTCATCTACCCTCTCAGTTAATTCTGGTGTCCCCCAGGGCTCTATTCTTGGTCCCTTACTTTTTGTATTGTTTATCAATGATATTCCTCTTGGCCTTTCGGATAATACTGATATTGTTTTGTATGCCGATGATACAAAAATCTGGCGTAAAATACATTCATCTTCTGATAATACTAATTTACAAATGGATATAGACTATCTCTCTGACTGGGCACTAAGAAACAAAATGCGATTCCATCCAGCAAAATGTAAAGTGCTTATTGTTTCAGGAAAACCATCTTTATCTCCTCCATTCGCATATAATCTTGATGGCTCTCCTCTTGTGTATGTAGAGTTAGAAAAAGATCTTGGAGTCGATGTTACTCCTAAGCTAAGTTGGAATAGTCAGTGCGACAGAATTTATACTAAGGCCTGCCAACAACTTGGTATGGTCAGAAGAGATGGCCATATTGTCATTGATCAGAAACGTCGCCGGGCGCTTTACCTCTCCCTGGTTCGTAGCCAATTCGAAAATTGTTCCATAATCTGGCGCCCTTGTAAAAAATCACTTAGTGATAAATTAGAAAGTCTCCAAAAGAGAGCTATTAAATGGATTCTGTCTGAAGAGGGCCGCAGTTATCCACCTGAGCAATATGTCAAAAAGTGCAAGCTTGTCGACATTCTCCCTTTGTCTCAAAAGTTTGACTTGAATGATCTTATTTTTTTCCACAAAGTTCTTAACAATTTAATTCCTGTATCGCTGCCTCACTATCTCTCTTTATATCAGGGCACTTCTCGACTAAGACGTTGCCACCTCGACAGTCTGTCTATTGTGTCATCAATTTTACCTAAGTTAAGTCAGAATTCACACACCACATGTACCTCAAATAGCCCACTGGCAAAATCATTTTTCTACAGAACCCATATACTGTGGAATGGACTCCCTTTACAGGTAAGACAGATTGTGTCTACTAGTCTTTTCAAAGCTGAGGTCACTAAGCATCTATGGAAATGTTTATTGGATAGTGAAACAACAGTCTAGCCTAGTCTCTTTGCTCCCCATATTATTATTATTTTTGTTTTATTAATTTTTTATCTACCTTCCTATACTTTCAACATCATATCACACTTCACCCGCACACCTTCTCACACATTAATGACCATTTCAGACCTGTATCTAATGTATCTGGAATTTGACGTATTGAAATACCAATTTTGACTCTATATCCACAGTTATTCACCATGGATTTGTTTGTTATTAAATAGTTTTTCATAAATTTTTGGATTTAGATTAATTCGATGTAATGGGTCCAAGTTACTGCGGACATAGTTCACTATGTGTTTACCGTGTTTGGGTGCCCATCATATTTTACAGATGGGGGCGATATTTTGAACGATTCTATTTTATATTCATCTATTGCTGTACTCTGTAAAATTTGAAAAGTATTTAATAAAAAAAAAAAAAATATATTTTCAGTTTTATGATTTCAAGTCATAAATACGTTAATTAAATCGAACTGTATTATTCATAAGTCGTTCAACGGGCAAGATCGGTTTTTTTAACCTTATACGGTTACATTTATGAAAGGTGTGTGTATGTGAGATTTAAAAGAAATTATTTGAATGTTATAACTTTATAAATGATATTTTAAAACTCGTAAAAAAACTGAGTTACGACTCATACGAGACATGTTTCACGGACTCATATGAGACATTTTGACGGGAAAGAAAACATAAACCGGACCAGAAAATCTGCGAAAACGTCAAAATATCCTGAATTTTCATGGGAAACTGGGATATGGGCGATTTTGTTCATTTTTGGCGGTCTTATGGGTTTAGTTTCTACATTCCAATAGATATTGAGCTATAACTCACAGAGAATACGTAGTTTAGACTTAACTTTCATATAAAGTTAGTCTCCATAAAATTAATGGGCTGAAATCTATCAAATTTGGTGCGTGTGATGCCCAAATATGGGCATATGATGTTTGGCTCATAACTCAGCCATTTTATGTCCAATCCGGATAAAATGTGTATACAAGTTCAGAAGACTTCTAGCTATAAAATCTGTGTTTTGGGCAAATTAAGGTGATTTTGCATAATTGGGCCAAAAATGGACAAAATATGGGCACCGCTGGCACCGGTCGCCGGTTGGGATCCAGTTTTTGCAAAAAATTTAGGATGAAAAATATCAATATCTGATTTTAGGTATTTCAAAATCTATTCATACAAAAAGGTACACTTTAAATAAATACGGAAATAACAGTCGTACATAAAGTTACCTTGTTACAACAATGTGCGAGTAATTTTTACTGGGGGATCCAAACGTACGAGCCAAACCGAAATCGGTTATCTTCAGTATACCGTTGGAGTCGATCAGCATGTTGTTGGGCTTTATATCCTGAGATATTGACGTTAAGCAATAATTGTGACCGGAGTCTTGTCTTAAGAAGGGTTTGTCGTGATTCGACCGGAAACATGACGCTCAAGGTCATTACTCCACGTTTCAATCACAAACCTAAACTGTTGTTTTGTGTCCATACAAAAATGGAGTTTATGTTGGCTTTTATTTCACATTATTCCCTATTAGTATTACCCTGTGGAGAATCCACTTCTTGTGAAGGTACTCCAGTCCCCTTAGAGTCATCATAACGTAGCTCTTTATATCAGCTGGACTCAAAATGATTGTCGGCTCCTTGATTATTTTCTGAAAATTTGTTGAGTCCGATGAAACCAAAATATTTTCTAATACCAAATCTAAAGAAGTGTCACTTTGTGTTACTATTAATAAGTTAACAGTCTGTATTTCTATAAAATCCATAGTTTCTAAAACCAGCCTTATCCCACAATATAAAGTTGAGTAAATGTGATGTTATGTCACAATCCACAAGTTAGCCCGAGTGATAGAAATCTAAGCTCTCAAATCGAATCCATTCACTCTGCACATTACCTCGAGATCGGTCGTCATGTAAGGAATGACAAGCGAGATATTGCTCTTTGTACCGAACACGTCTAATAACTGAAAGTATTGTACTCTCAGAGATCCAATTTCACCAAATCAGAAACAACATGACAAACTTGACAGAAGAGGGAGCCAAACATGGTTAAATCGATTATAACTTCGTAGAAGAGTTAATGGTACGGTCACATGATCTAGTTGTTATAATTCATACATGTTCAACAAAATCAATGATTGCAATATTACAATTTAACTTTAGAAGTTATTTGTGATCAACTTAGCAATGACACAATAAAATCAATAACTTACCCCACAAATGTTAGGATGATCGACTTCTTGCAGTAGTTTTATCTCTCTGACTGCCGTCCTGTTAATCCCATCTTTGGCTTCAGCCCTGCAGCCCAGTTTTATCTTTTTAACAGCTACAATCATGTTATCATTGTGAGTGTCTTCAGCCTTGAACACTGTCGCGAACTGACCCTCTCCCAGGAAACCAATCTTGTGGTACCTCTTCGACTTACCATCCTTTATGGGCATTTGAAGACCGGGATACAGTAGCGGTCTCGGCTACTATTACATACTGCTAAGCGCTTAAATGAATGGAAGTTATATTGGAGAACAGTTTAGATCGATAACTTATAATAGGTAATTGCTACTGGGTTTTTGAGTAATATAGCAGTGACCTAACCGAGAGAGTCGAAAAGTGTCACAAGGTTTAGTTGAGGAACATTCACGACCAAATTACGAGTGCTAAAAGAAAACGGAGTCGCCTTCAACTGTTAAATGAATAAAAAGCCTTAAAATAATCTATACAGCAGCACGTCAGCAATAAGTTATCAGAATGAAATAAATACTTCAAATCCCATGAAACTGATCTAAATTACTTTTAACTAAAAGTTACTCATCAGAATCATCACTCATTTCATCAGGATCTTCACAGTCCATCATAGTATTCATAGCGTTATCAAACATATCGGAAAATTTATCCATCTTCTTTCTTTCCCTTTTTAATCCACGCTTTTTGTTCTTCATAACTTTAGAATTTTGAAGGTGCGGCATTTCGTAAGGCTTGTCCTCAATCAACTTATCCATAGCTTCCACCTTAGGTGGTTTGTCCGTTTTGAAGACCACAGATAGCTCCTGAGCTGGAGCAGCATCAGTGTTATCTCGCATCTCATCCTCAACTTTCGGCATTTCGAGGTCGTCAAGACTGAACTCCGCCGCCCACGTGGTTACAACTTCAGCTGATACGTGAGCGGGTATTGGTGCGTTCTCCTAGATATAAATTGGATTAAACTGAATATTGTATAAATGAGTTGAGATACGTTTGGCGAAGCTTGTACATATCTTTGTGGATATAACCGATAGCAGACTACTATACCGAGCCACCAACATACGAATATCAAGACATGAGGTATGCGATTGAGCGCGCGGGCGCGGCGGTACTGTGTAAATTCTTTATTATGAAGTTGAAAACCCATACAGTACAAATGTCATCGCGCGTTACAAAACCGGCACTTTTTTATCAAACTTTGCCTGAAAATTTGGTCATAAATTTTGACTTACCGGGGGTGGTTTGATGTAAAACTGTACAGAGCCGTTACTCCAATCTTTGAGTAGCAGTCTAGCGGCTGCAGTCGTATCCGGTACACCACCGGACACCAATTTACCAAATCTGAATGCCAGTAACGCGGTCAGTTCATGAGCGGTTGTAAAGGGTTCGATTTGGTAATGTTCTGCTAGCTGGGCTACTCCGCAATGCTCCATTATAATTTCTATAGGTTTAACAGGATCTTCTAAATTGTCTAGCTTTACTGCGTTCTGTATGGTTGCGAGTGGGCCAACATTTTCTGACAGAACCACTCCGGGACTGTCCAGTAGTTTGATGTTCTTATCTAACTCTACCTGGAAGTTATCTGGGCTAGTTGACAAAGAAACCAAGTTCAACTATAATATGTATTGCATTGAAATGAGTATTCAACAACGTCGATCTCCAAAAACATTGTATTTATGTGTATTCTTTACCTCCTGAATTGATCTAGTAATCCCAGGGATAGCGCCAACATTACACGATCTACTCCTTTTAAGAGAGTTAATCAGGGAACTTTTACCCACGTTAGGCAGCCCAATAACTCCCACACGAATACTCGTCCGAATTCCTTTATTTCGGGTGTAGTTCACTAATAACTGAAGAAGGAAAAAGTCATACAATTAAAAGATCAATCAGTCCACAAAAATCTTGTTTTGTAAGACTAGTCTATTTGAAGAGTTTACAGTTTTAGGAAATAGAATGACTGCAAACCTTGTTAAGCTCCCTAGCCCCTAAACATGCACTGGTAGCAAACATCTTGTGGTTTACTCCCATCACGTCCACATTTGACCGTTTAAGATTAGATTTCTGTGCCTGGGTGTTAGCTTTGAACAGGACGGTGGGGAACTGTTTGGACAAATGTTTGTGCCATGCTTTAGACACATCTTGGGGAACTAAGTCTATCTTGTTCAGAACGAGGATAAGTCTTTTGTTGTAGTCTGCTAACACAGCTGTCTCTGCCTGAAGTTTAAATTAGATTCCACAACAGAGCTTTTGTTAAAGTAGGGCAAACAGATTTTAAACAGATTTCATCGAAATTTTTGTTTTCAATTCAATAAAATATGTGAAATACGTGCATTTGTGATAATATGATAATCTATGAGACTCACATCTTTACACCGACATCCCTCAGGATCCCTAGCATCAAGAACCTCCAATACAACATCCGCCTGATCAACTACTTTTCTAAACTCCTTGTAAAACGACCGCTTTATCCCCTCCTTTATCTGCAATCTGAAGTTAATTTAGATTATTGAATTCTTAGGTGAGCTATTTCGTCATGGGATATAATGATTGATTTAATTTTCTGGATAAGGTTTCGAAAATAATACGGTGCCAAAATAAAATAAACACTATTTTCTGACCCTTCTTCTGAGGCGGCTGCACCATTAGTGTTCTCGAATGTTTTTTGTCGAGATGTTGCATTCTCCACCAAGTCAGACAGGGACCGTACCTGGCACAGTTTGTATAAGTTGTAAGGACGGTTTTATAAGGACGAACTGCAGATCAAAAGACTGGAATAATAAGGATGTACAGAAATAAAGCACCAGTAAGTCTAAAAATATAATTTGTTTCCAAAATAATAGGATTTATAGTAATATATTGAATAAGCGACCTGCTCGAAGCCGTTCTGCCGTTTGTGTCTCTGGTTAGCTTGCTTCTTTTCAAGTCTCTTGGTCAGAGTATCAGGGTGGAACTTCTTACACGATCCGATCTGTTTCACTGGGTCACGTGACTCTTTCTGGTGCTTTGTCCGGCCCTTCTTGCCCATGATCACTACTAATAGCGTGAGTTTTTTAAACAGACTTACCCTGCTACTCTAGTAGCAGGGCATAGTTGAGTGTGCACTTCGATGTACACGATTTCTGATAACACAGGGTTGTTTGTTAGGTCATTCTAAACCAGAATCGTTTAGGTGGACAATTTGTTTCGCTAGAGACAACCCTACAGGGCAAATTTTCTAAATTACCCTCAGTCGCGTATACTGGATTTTCGTATTTCGGCTCCTGAAGGTCATAGAGACTTCATTTTTGGCGTAAAATTACTGCAGTGGCCACATTTATATACAACTTATTAATCAATGTATGGTCTAAAATTGTTTGTTCCCGAGATATCTGCAAAAAACTAATTTAAGCTCAGGCGTAGGCACAAATTTCAATTTGTATCTCAGCTTCTGAAGGTCTTAGAGACTCAAACTTTAGCTTAAAATGACCGCAATACACATGTTTATATTGACACTATAAAGGTCATAAAGGTCCAAAATGCTTGCTTTTGGAAAAAATCCAGAAAAACTGATTTTCACTGGGGCGAGTGAAAAAAATCTACTCTAGAAGCTAATTGAAATCGAGTGTGCAGTTTGGTGTCTACAAATTTTCTAGAAACCAGGTCCTTTGTAAGGTCATTTTGGATCAGAATTGATAAGGTACGCAATTTCTATCAGTAGTTCCAACCCTAGGGGGGAAATTTCTAAATTACCCTCTGGCGCAAATATATGAATTTTGTATCTCGGCTTCAGAACGTTGTAAGGGCCTCTCTTTTAGCTCAAACTAACTGCAAAAGCCACATTTACATACAAGCAATAAAGCAACATAGGGTTTATAGTGCTTAGCTTTGGAGATATTCATTAAAAACTGTTTTAACTTTCGTGCATCCTAAAATAGTAACATCAAACATGTAATTAATTTTGGTATCCTGGGCTAAAAAAGTCTTACTGACACTTTACTTGCAGAACAGCAAAATGTTCAGCATGAACACATTCAGATAATATTTATGGAGCAACACAATTAAGTTTCAGAAGCTCCTTCCAGCTATCTTATCTTATCCCCGAATGTATACATCTAACCATCTCTCTGGCTACTTCAAACCACTTCAATCCCCAAATTTATACATCTGACCATCTCCCTGGTTGCTTCCATTTCGTTAAAGCCAAGGCTCGACCGGGACCGCTAGTTTGGCCGGGACTGGGACTGGGAAAAAGTGCCAGGACCGGGATTAAGACCGGGATTAGGGATCGGGATTAAGCCGGGATCCCGGTCTTACCACAAGTTGGGCTCTCTCCAGTACTGTTTGGCTATTATGGCTAATCAACTCCAATCCAACCTCATGTAGTAGAATCTACTTCTAGTTTCCTTCAATTCTGCTACCTCCACTCTAGCTCCTTCTAGCAATCTCTGAATGCTATTTCCTGCTTTATCTAGCTTCCACCAACACCCAATAATTGTTGTTTAAATTTTACCACTAGCCCCTGCAAATTCTAGCCCTATCCAGCAACCTCAGACGTACTCCTACTCTGTTCAGCTATTGCCAGCACTTGCAAATTTTAGCCCTATTAAGCAACCTCAGACTACTTTCTGCTCTATCCAGCTAACACTAGCAAACGGTACCCACAAATTTTAGCTACTTCGGGCTACATCCATCCATATTCAGTTGGTTGAGCACTCTCAAATTCTATCTGTTTTTACATAATTCATGCTACCTCCAGGCTCCAGCTAGAATTTGAGGGTTCTTGTGTTATCTGGATATAGCATAAGGTAGTCTGAGTTTGCTGGATAGGACTAGAATTTGCAGGTGCTAGTGGTAGCTTAACACCAATAAGTGGATGTTGGTGGAAGCTAGATAGAGCAGGAAGTAGCATTCAGAGGTTGCTAGAAATAGCAGATTTCCTCTTCCTCAATGAGCTGGAAATTGTTGAATGCAGCTGAGGCAGCCGGAAAGAGCCAGAATAAATTGTTGCTGGCGGTGCTATAAAAGGCAAGAGGGAGCTTAAGTTAAGTTTGCTAGAAAGAGCAGAGGTTGGAGGGGCCAGGGGGCCTTGCAGTAGTAGCTAAATAGATGTAGCCGAAGTAGGTGAAAAGAGCTGGAATTGGGGTTTCTGCCCACTAGTGGTACCTGTATAGAGCAAGAGGTAGCATTCAGAGGTTGCTAGAAAGAGCTACAATTATAACGTGCTGGTGGTAGCTGGGTAGAATAGGCATGGCATAGAGGTAGCAGAATTAAAAGTAGCTAGAAGTAGATTCTACTTCATGAGGTGGGATTGAAGTTGATTAGCCATAATAGTCAAACAGTACTGGAGAGAGCCCAACTTGTAGTAGCTATAACGAGATAGTTAGATGTTCATGTATAAATTTGGGGATTGAAGTAGTTTGAAGTAGCCAGAGAGATGGTTAGATGTATACATTTGGGGATAAGATAAGATAGCTGGAAGGAGCTTCTGAAACTTAATTGTGTTGCTCCATAAATATTATCTGAATGTGTTCATGCTGAACATTTTGCTGTTCTGCAAGTAAAGTGTCAGTAAGACTTTTTTAGCCCAGGATACCAAAATTAATTACATGTTTGATGTTACTATTTTAGGATGCACGAAAGTTAAAGTGAAAATCAGTTTTTCTGGATTTTTTCCAAAAGCAAGCATTTTGGACCTTTATGACCTTTATAGTGTCAATATAAACATGTGTATTGCGGTCATTTTAAGCTAAAGTTTGAGTCTCTAAGACCTTCAGAAGCTGAGATACAAATTTAATGAAATTTGTGCCTACGCCTGAGCTTAAATTATGTTTTTGCAGATATCTCGGGAACAAACAATTTTAGACCATACATTGATTAATAAGTTGTACATAAATGTGGCCACTGCGGTAATTTTACGCCAAAAACGAAGTCTCTATGACCTTCAGGAGCCGAAATACGAAAATCCCGTATACGCGACTGAGGGTAATTTAGAAAATTTGCCCTGTAGGGTTGTCTCTAGCGAAACAAATTGTCCACCTAAACGATTCTGGTTTAGAATGACCTAACAAACAACCCTGTGTTATCAGAAATCGTGTACATCGAAGTGCACACTCAACTATTCCCTGCTACTAGAGTATGCAGTTCCATGGCTCAGTTTTGCAACCAGATTTGCTCACATTTTTTCTCACATTTTTGCGACCGGAAATGAAATTCAAAAATATTTCTCCGCACGGAGAAATATTTTTGATATGACCCAAAACTCCGTGACAGCAGTTTTAACATGGGCGCTCGCGTGGGAAATTTCATTATAATGCGCCCACGTGCGCGCGCAAATCTGCGTGCAAATATACCAACCGTGGAAACGTACATTGTAAACAAAACTGCTTTCGCGGAGTTTTGCTTTTCAAAACTCATTGCGTGGAGTTTTGTGTCAAATCTGGTCGCAAAACTGAGCCGTGGAACTGGGCTGTTACGATGAAATGTTTTTGAATTGAATATCATGTACAGTTTACTCTCGTATGTAATCACTCTTGCCCCTCGAAATCAAAGCAGGACAAATTTTTGAAAGAAAATGAACGCTGAACAATGTTAGATTATAACTGACATTGACACCACTATTAATAAAATCAAAATTGAAACAATTGATTCATAAAATAATTTGAAAATAAAACTTGATAAAAAGGGTTAAATTAGGTTTGATTATTTAAAACATATCATGCATTGTTAAATTGAGAATATATCTAGATAAGCTATAAAAAAATGTCCTTATTAAAGTGAATAACGTATAGTGAATATATCGTAGTTACAATAAATGATTGTTAGAAAAAGTAATACAACCAAACGATGAAAATCTGTCCATATATACAATTAATCGTATGGCGTATGCAATTAATCGTAATAAAATTGTATAAACAATTTTAATTGATCAAAAAGTGCAAAATAAGGTTTGATTATGTTAAAAATAGCAAGCATACTAAATATTCACTAGACAAGCTGTAAAATTACTTTCAGTATTCAAGTAAAAATAGTAGTTATCATTGTTTGTTAAAGAGTCTTATAACAACCGACGGAAAAATTTGTTATCGGTCCATGTATGCAATAAATCGTATGCTGGTTTGCAGATTCTCGTTAGGATAGATTAGATCTGTTCCCCACTGCCAATAGAAAGAACCATTTTCAGAAGCACGGAGAGGTTTTCCATTCCATGAAATTATAAGTGAACGTGGGTTACTGTCCGATTCCAACTTTTCGATTACAAGGTGAATTTTTTCCGGTGTAACGTTAATAAGAGGGGGGTGAAACTTATTTCCAGAATGATACTCAGGGCCCCTTCTCACTAGCTGGATATTGAACAGATCAGGCTGTTTTACTGTCCCTGGTGTGACTTTGATGATAAATCCGCAATCAAGGTCACTCAAATGCAAGCACTTTTGGCGCTTATAACAAAATGAATGCAGAGTTTCTTCAGAAAAAAATGTATTAATATTCACGGACTTCTCTGCGGCAATTCTTACTGAATTTCTGAAAGAAACAAGGTCCCTACATTCCAGCAACAAATTTAACGCTCTGGGATGATACTTGAAGCTCAAAGTTTCAAGAAACTCAGGATGAACGTATGAAAATCCTCGACGAGCCTTCAGCAGCACCAGTTTCTCTACTATATCGTCAGAAAAGGGTAAGCAGTATCTGTATGCAGTAAACCTTTCTAATCCCTCAAAAACCATGTACATGTTAGTAACATCCTTTGAGTCTGACAAGGCATCTAACACAAAGTATAATTGTTCATTTCCAGGGAGGTCACATTCTTTCATTTGAACTTCTCTGAGGCTTTTATCATCAAGAAGAAAGTTTAAAAACACCTCATACTTAGCTTCACTGAGTGAAGAAATCTCAACTCTCTTTTCCTCGACTTTGATCTTTTTGGAATTCGAAGAGAACGATGATTTCAACGAACTTCTCAACAGTTGAGCTACAAACTTAGTATCAGGGCCAGTTAATTTATCAATGCCCTCAGTCAAAATGTCGAAAATTTCATCACACAACTCAGGGGCAAC